ATCACTCTAAATATGAACGTAATATAATAAAAAGCATAACCAAGAGGCTAGGTAGGGAAACAGAGTCCCAGAAGCCCAGGCTAAGGGTGTTGCCAACCCCTCAGCGCAGCCCTGGCCCCTGCCATTGAGGACCGGACCGTGTTGTTTCCTGCCCACTCTCCAGATTCGGTGTCTGTGCCGCAAACCCTGGGGATGTGCCGCAAACCCTGGGGATCCGCCGCAGGGCTTAGCATTCACATATATCAAGTAAGACAGTTCCCAAAGTTACTTAATCGTACACCACACCTTAGGCAAAGGTGTTGCCCGCGCATCAGACTAACCATACCCCAATACGAAGGCGTCAGCTGTGGGCTCTATACGAAGGCGTCAGCTGTGGAAAAGAGCCCCGAGAGTCAGGGCGCCAAAGATGCTTCTGTTAGTAATAAGGATGAACGGAACGCCCCCTGCCGCTGGCCCTGCGCTTAGTGAAGGGAACAGTGTACCTGGACCACGACAAAGCATCGGTCGCACAGGCCACGCCCTGAGTGCAAGGCTGGTGATGGATTCGGGGAATAAACAGCAAGTGGTTGCGCAGCGCCCAGCTCAAGGTCTGCATCTGCGAGTAGGGGCAGCTGAGGCGGGGGAGGAGGAGGGGAGTCGGATGTGCATGTTGTGCTCAGAGACTCTGACTTCATCCTGGGGAGCAGAGGGCCCTTCAAGCCTTTCAAGAAGTCGGGGAGAGAGAGAACTAGGTGCCAGGGTGCCATCTCCTGGGAAGCGGGACGACGGTGGGGGTTCAGCAGGCCACCCCAGCGGCAGTGCGGAAGGAGCGAGGAGGGTGGATTCAGAAGATGTGAGCGAGCCTTCAGTTACTGGGATGAGAGCATCCTTTCTGGTTTGGGATGCAGTTATTTCTGGAGGCAGGAAGACGGGTGGGCTAGCTCTATGTGTAGCCCGAGATCCCGTGTCGCCGCAGAGATGTTTACGGTTTCTGACCCACGTCTGTCTGGTTGTGCTCCCTTTGGCTGTGTAGACGGACTCCTCCAAAAACAAGGGCTCTTTTCAGTGCAACGGTCCACCACCTCGCTCTCCCTGCCCTAGGTACACTGGTCGGAATACCGGTTTTCCTTTTTACACAGGAACCCTATGTTCTCTGGTCAAAATGTTTCTCAGCACATATAAATCTTTCTGTATACACATTGGCAATACATAGAAGCACATCGTGCATTTATTCTGTAGTCCTAAGGGTGAGTAGATGTTAGGATTGGCGTTTTCTGCTCCTGGAATTTTTTGTTCTGAGCAGTAAAGACATTTAACCATCTGTTTATGGCTTTAAAGTGAGTGTTCTAAGTGGAGCCTATGAATAAATACATGAATCATGAAGGATATATTGAAGGGGTATTGTCAGTAATAAATTGCTACTGTACATCTTTTTCAATTGTTTTTGCAGTATTAAACAAGTCTAATGTAATCATATGGTATTTTTAAGGAATTAAAAAAATTTAATGTTAACTGGATTTTTATCTGAATTATATCTTCTAGGAGAGACTAGGGTATAGGATTGCTTCAACTGCATAAAAATCTTTTTCCTTAGAGTAATTTCTACCCATAATTTTAGTTACTTATGGTTGATATGTACTTAGTACTATATTGTTACAAAATTATTGTTTTTTTATAATGTTTATTTTTGAGAGAGAGAGAAAGCATGCAAGTTGGGGGGTTGCAGAGAGAGGGGGACAGGATCTGAAACAGACTGTGCTGACAGTACACAGCCTGATGTGGGGCTTCAACTCCTGGACCGTGAGATCATGACGTGAGCCAAAGTTGGACGCTTACCTGAATGAGCCACTGAGGTGCCCCACAAAATTATTTTATTTTGATTTTAATTTTTTGAAAGTATTTATTTATTTTGGGGAGAGTGCATGCCGGGGAGGGGCAGAGAGAGGGGGTCAGAGGACCTGAAGTGGGCTCTGTGCTGACAGCAGAGAGCTGATGCTGGGTTTGAATTCACAAACCTGAGATCATGGCCTGAGCCAAAGTCGGACACTTCACCGACTGAGCCATCCAGGTGCCCCACAAAATTATTTTAATAGAAATGGAATGTTGGAGGGGCACCTGGGTGGCTCAGCCGGTGAAGTATCCGACTTTGGCTCAGGTCATGATCTCATGACTCCTGAGTTCAAGCCCCACATTGGGCTCTACTGACAGCTCAGAGCCTGGAGCTTGCTTTGGATTCTGTGTCTCCCTCTCTTTCTGCCCCTCCCCTGCTTACACAGTCTGTCTGTCTCTCTCAAAAAGAAACAAACTAAAAAGAAATGGAGTGTTGGATTCATTGTTGAACTGAAATTTCAGAAATACAAATTAAGTTGAAATTAGTATTTTTCAAAGCTCATCATATTATCTTTTCCTCTAGTTAAATATTGTAGATGTTTACAGATGCTTTTATTCACCTAGCTCTTCTGTAAGAACATGAATTTATTTCCTCCTACCTACAGGACACTGGCTTACTGGTTCTAGAGATTTCTTTTCACAAGACTTCATTTTTCTGATGAAATATAAGAATTCAAATAGTTTCAGTTTGGCACACATGTGTAAATTAAATTATATAGCATTTTCAAAATACACTTTTGCTCAGTATTAACATGAGAGTAGCAGTTGGAACAAAGACTCCATTTGTCAGTTTTTATTCCTTTTACTTGTACTTGAAATCCTTTAGAGAGTTGAGTAAATTTAAATGTAAATAAAACGAAACAGCCAATGTATTTCAACTCAGGGAACTGGTTACAGTGTTATTGCATAACTTCATATCCAAGAATGCTAATACCTTTTCACCTTGGTTTGTGCTTGACTTTGTTCTTGGGTAATTGCTGTTGCCTTGGTAGTCATCAAAGGGGACCAGCAAAGGAGATTTAAATGAGAGGAATTTGCAGGGGCTCACACTACACAGTCTGCTGTGGCATTTGAGGTGTTGACTACCTTTTTAAGTTACTATTTATCAGGTTACTATTGAGCTGTCCTTGAGTTGGCTCTACCTGGTAGGTCTCTACTAGCCCTGAGTAGTTGGTATTTGAACTTACTGACTAGTTTTAACTTTTAATAAAAATCTAAGCAGAAATGCATGCGTTAATAATCACTAGGTATTCCTTTCTCTTTTGTAACATACAAACATTTTTGCATAGGGGACGCCTGGGTGGCTTAGTTGGTTGAGCGTCTGACTTCGCTTAGGTCATGATCTCGCGGTTCGTGGGTTCGAGCCCCGCGTCGGGCTCTGTGCTGACTGCCAGCTCGGAGCCTGGAGCCTGTTTCGGAGTCTGTGTCTCCCTCTCTCTCTGACCCTCCCCTGCTCACGCTGTATCTCTCTCTCTCTCCTAGAAATAAATAAAAATATTTAAAAAAAAAAATTTTTTTGCATAAATGCATGCGTATAATTGTATACACTATGCCTAATTCATCTGCTCACTAAAAGAATTTCTAGAATGTAATGGATGTTAAGAAAAGTGTTTTTTTAAATACAGAGAACAAACTTAGGGTTGATGGGAGGTGGGGGACAGGGGAAAGTGGGTGATGGGCATTGAAGGGGGCACTTGCTGGGAGGAACACTGGGTGTTGTATGGAAGCCAGTTTGACAATAAATTATATTAAAAGAAAAAAATTTTTTCATTCTATAAACTGTTGTATCTATACCTATGAAAATCATCCAGAAACCAAACATAGGAAAAAAAGCCACAACAATCTTTGCTGACTGAGCTTTTCCTTTGTGTTGATTGCTACATATGTACAAACCTGGGCATGTTGGCTTTATGTACCTGAGTTTGTGGATTTGCTGGATTTGCTGTTATGATTTTGCCTGAGGTGTTAGCACCATTTAAACAAGGCCATGAGAATGTGGAAGATGAATGTTATTTATCCTTTATTTTAAATTTTTATTGAGCTATAATTAATATACAGTGTTAATTAATTTCAGGTGGACAGTTTAATGATTCAGCAATTATAGACACTACTCTGCTCATCACCATAAGTGAACTAATCCTCTTTATTTCACCCATCCCCCAAACCACCCTAAGGAAAAAGAAAACCCACTCCCCAAACTTGGTGATGTGGAATTAGAGACTAGAAAATAATCATCGTAAAAGAAAGACAAAAAAAGAAACTACATCACAGGGACATCTGAGTGTTTCAGTAGGTTAAGTGTCTGACTTCAGCTCAGGTCATGATTTCATGGTTCATGAGTTCGAGCCCCATGACGGACTCTGTGCTGACAGCTCAGAGCCTGGAGCCTGCTTCAGATTCTGTGTCTCCTCTCTCTGCCCCTCCCTGCTCTCTCTCTCTCTCTCTCAAAAATAAATATTTAAAAAAAAGGAAGCTACCTTAAATACTTAAAAAAAATTTTTTAATGTTTTATTTATTTTTGAGAGAGAGATAGAGACAGCATGAGCAGGGGAGAGTCAGAGAGAGAGAGAGAGAGAGAGAAAGAGAGAGACACACAGAATCTGAAGCAGGCTCCAAGCTCTGAGTTGTCAGCACAGTCTGACACGGAGCTCGAACCCACGAACTGTGAGATCATGACCTGAGCCAAAGTTGGATGCTTAAATGACTGAGCCACCCAGGTGCCCCGGAAACTACCTTACATACTATTTTTACTGCTTCCAGTGCTACTCTTATAAATGATTTCAGCTAAAAACTGAGATGCTTTATATTTAGGGCATTAAGAATGTGTTATTATTTTTATTGCTGTCATCCATTATGGTTAGTTATGACTTTTGATACCTTTTTGATAGAAAATAAAATTTGGTACACTAAGCTTCCAGACTGGTGGGCTTGCTGACCCATTACTTACGCTGGTGTGGTCTAAAGTGTAGGGTGGCAGATGGCAGGTCTGCCTTGGCGTGTCCCTGAGAGAGCTCCCTGGTGTTTGGGACAATTAATTCATCATCATGGGAAGGCTCACCAGGAAAAGAGATGTTTCTGAAGCCAAAATTTGTTTTATATAAAATAATGGTGCTTTTTTTTTTTTCTTTTAGATTTTGGGGTAAGTGCATTCTTAGCAACAGGGGGTGATGTTACCCGGAATAAAGTAAGAAAAACATTTGTTGGTACTCCGTGCTGGATGGCCCCTGAAGTCATGGAACAGGTAAAGAATACATAAATAAATAAAATATTAAAAAGTGATGTTTTTGTATCATTAAATACACTAAAATTTCATTCAAACCATTCAGTTTACTAGAATGCATCATGTAATTCAGATTTAATTCCTGATTGCTGAGCCTTAGCAAAGTAATATCGAAGTGGTACATAAATGCTATAGACTCCTGACTTCAAGCTGTGTGACCTGCCAATTTTATAATTGTGTTTTTTCCTGGTTCTTTTTTCAGGTGAGAGGCTATGACTTCAAGGCCGACATGTGGAGTTTTGGAATAACTGCCATTGAATTAGCTACAGGAGCAGCACCTTATCACAAATACCCTCCTATGAAAGTAATTACAATTGGAAATGATATGTTGGGCTTGAAATAGGGTTTAATAGAATCGGTTCTGTAATTCTTTTAAACATAGTCATTTTTCTCTTAGACCTGAGGAGAATTAATGGAGGAATGTAGCCAAGTTAAATGTTGTCTGATGTTCTCAGTGGACAAAATAGGACACAAGCGGTACAATTCCCAGCTTTGAAGCTCGCTTTGACATTCTTAGCACAGAACTGTCTGAAGAGTGTGATTGGATTGGTGGATGGAGATTGAGAACTGTGACACATGCTGGTCATTACTCCTCTGAGAGCAGAATACCCCGGACCTCCAAGGAAAATCTAAAAATAGATTATAGTGTATCATCTGCAGATGGATTTCCCCAAATGATCTGTAACATTTCACCCATGTGCTCATACTGTCGTATTGGTGATTCATCTGAAATAAGTGAGCCCAGTGTTTTTAGGCAACAACCTACATCTGGATACTGTTTTCAGACTTTCGTTACTCTTTTTTTTTTTTTTAAGGTTTTATTTATTTCTAGGAGAGAGAGAGAGAGACCGCGTGAGCAGGGGAGGGTCAGAGAGAGAGGGAGTCACAGACTGAAACAGGCTCCAGGCTCTGAGCTGGCAGTCAGCACAGAGCCCGACGCGGGGCCCGAACCCACGAACCGCGAGATCATGACCCAAGCGAAAGTCGGACGCTTAACCGACTAAGCCACCCAGGCACCCCTTTCGTTACTCTTTTAACTGGCCTACATCATTATTTCACTCAGTTCTGAGATGGTAAATCAGGGCTGTTTTACCTGATTAGATTTTATTTGGGGGCTGAAATAGTTGAGTGAAAATTATAAAAGTATTTTACGGAGAGTACCGTCTGTATTTGTTTCAGCTTCTTCCTAGGAAAATGCTGGAAATTTTTATGAGGATAAAAAAAAAAACAAGGATAAAAAAAGTTAGATAATCTTACTGATTAAAAAGTTAATACATTCTTACTGGAGAAAATTTGGAAGTCCAAATAAGAATAAAGAAGAGAATAATCATTCATAATCTCACCAACCACAGACAATCCCTGTTAAGGTTTTAGTGTAGTTCATTACATTACTCTTTTCTCTATATACATATTTTTAACATACTTAAAGTCAGGGTGTGTGCGTGTATACGTACCTGCTTTTGTTAGCAGAAAATTTAAAGTTGAGATGTAATTAAAATGACCTTTCAGAGAAAAAAGCACTAAAGTGACTCAGGACTTTTACTTCCATCGATTTTTCTGTATTATTTTTTTTCTTTTTTCTTGTTTCTTTTCTTTCCCCACTCCTTCATGTTTCCCATCCGGCTCCAAAATCATATTGCTGACCCCAGCCTGCTGTTCTGTCCTGCGGGGCTCTGTTTGGTCTTCACAGCTCTCCCACTTTCTTCTGTTTGCTGTTGTCTTCCACAAACAATAAATTGTCACTGTAATCCTTCATCTATTCACACATCTGAAAGTGTTTGAGAAGAGTCTTGGCATGTATAATATTTGCATAAATTAAGGCTAATTTATGCATTAATGAGGTTTATTCCTTTTAGAGGTCAATAGTTTATTACAAATTCTGCTCTTTTTTAAAGCAAGTAGTTTTGATGTTAGTGTGAACGAATGGAAGTTTTACCTTTTTGATTTGAAACTGTATTTCGATTTCGTTTTGTTCCCCTCCAAAAGCAGCGTGGCCTTTTGCTCTGGTTATGGTTTTTAGTAACTCATATTCTGGCTGTCTTTCAGTGTCTTACTGTCTCAATTTGGCCAGGCCTTTAAGCAATATTCTGTAAGTTTTCTCAGTTTAAAAAAAAAAAAAAAAAAGAGAGAAAAGGAAATCATGTGTTACCTTCTGGGATGTTGTGGATTTATTTTTAGGGTTGGCAGCGTGTTAACAGAAGGCTTGAGTACGGGCGATTCCTTACTTATGAATGACCCGTGCACATGAACTGTGGCTCTGGGCCTCCACCTCCCCCCGCACGTTCCCAGCCGGAGCCCGGGCCCTCGCTAAGGCTGTGCTGGAGCTACGTGCTCCTCTGGGCTGTGCGAGAGCCAGTTCCCAGAAGTTCTGTCCTGGCTGCTTTGGGAGATCATTCTTAACACACAGAACAGATTTTGTAAGTTCTGTCAATGGAATAACAAAAAGGTGAAAGGGCACACTGAACAGATTTGCAAAGGGAAATGAATACTTTCAGTCCACACTTTCTGGAAGGTTAAAATCATGGGAAAGCATGTTTGTACCTAAATCAAGGATGGTCTTTGTCAGAGATTATAAAGACCTGACTGTAGCAATTGCTGTACTGAGATTCTGTCTTGGTGTCTGTTTCTGCTGCAGGTGTTAATGTTGACTTTGCAGAATGATCCACCCACTTTAGAAACAGGAGTAGAGGATAAGGAAATGATGAAAAAGTACGGCAAGTCCTTTAGGAAGTTACTTTCCCTGTGTCTTCAGAAAGATCCTTCTAAAAGGTATGTCAAACTTAGTGGATGATAGTGGATGAGTTAACGACCTGGTTTGAATCACGACAAAGCGTTGTTTGTGCACGGGAAAAGGCTATATCAAGACACCTGAAAGATACTCCTAGTTCAAGAGAAACCCTGCTCTGGCCCCTGGTTTCCAACCTGTTCGTGGAAGACAGGGTGGGTCCAGGAGGGAGAGACGTGAGTGAGGATGAAGGAGAGGCAGAGGAAAATTTTTAATGTTCAGAAGATTCACTGTGTTTGTTAGGTGTGGGCTCCGTCATCAAAGGAAATGAAATAAAACAGAAATCAAAAGAAATTGGCACTGGCATACTCAGAAGCTGAGCTAATATTCTGTACTGTGTAGGTTGAGCTGACCTCTCAGGATTCGAATATCCTGCTAGCTCCAGTCTAAACCAGGCAGAGCTATTGAATTTTGCATGAGCTTCCTTTTAGTTGCAGAACAAGTTGTGCTGTTTAAAAGATTATCAGTAAAGAAGATTAAGATTTTTGCATTAGAAACATTAATCATATAAACAGGAGCAAATGGTTTGAAATCAACGTTAGTGTTTCCTCTTTATTCTTGGGTTACTGCCCTGCTCCATAGAGTGTCTGTTTTCTGAGTTTGTTTCTTCCTTCTTAATTTCTGTGACGTCGAAATATCCTGGCAAGTGATAATATAGTGCCATGTCTTTTATCACTTAAAGAAGAATGTGACATGAGGCCCACAAGCCTTGGCCTGGGTAGAGTCCCTTTGTAGAGCTAGGTTGTGTGTGGTACGGTGCCAGCGTACAGTCAGCCTGGACTACACACCCGGAGAGGCCTCTAAGAAGTTACTGGCCCCCTCCTCCACCCAAGGGCTCAATTTGATACTTAGATTTGAAAATGTAAATACTGGCTTCTCTCCCGAAGCTTTCTGTTTCAGGGAAGAGCCTTGCTTTCAGACGGAGGGATCCTTGTATTCTTAAATCCTTTATGAAACTTCAGTGTTTTCTAAATCTTTGCACACTACTCTGTTGTTTGAGTAGGAAACCCTACTCTCGATTAAACATAATTTCCATTTTGTTACCCATTCTTCGTAGCCACTATCTTCATTCCTTTACATTTTGTTGAATTTGCCTTGAATCTTTTCTTTATCAGTCACCATTCTCATGGAGATAGGTCTAAAGACTGCTATTAAGCATCTTGAAATTATTTATTGTTAAAGGGATAGTTGTTTTGTCACACCAATAGGCAATTTTTGCGGCAACATCTTAGTTGCCCTTACTATTTGATTTGTAAGGCTCGTTTTTTCCTCTGAAGTTATACTGATCTTTCATTGAGCTTACTTCTTCACTCTCCTGTTGGGTGAAAATGCTCTTAGATTCTAATTTTGTTCTGCAACACATGTTTGTCTTCACTTTGTATTTGGTGTCCTCTCCAAACATAAATTTTTGGCATCACCAAGGAAACAATTCGATCCTCCAAAGCCCAAGGAGAGAAGTACTTGTCTTTCCTGTTAGCCCTGCTTTACTGCAGATGGTCTTTGTGATTCTCAAACTGGTTGAGATCCCACCTAGTGGTGATGATGTGTAATGTCACCCAATTCCACCTCAGAAAAATACTGTAGGGTAGAAATGCTGGTATACTTAATGATACAACAATAGATTTCTTTAGGAGGTTTGTAACTTAGAATAAATTAGATTAGATTATTATACATTATATTTAGTGAGCCATCCTTGTTTCTTAATTATCTTTAAACTTCCCAGGTGTTAAATATATTATATGAGCTCAAATATCAGGTTCCCCCCACCTCACCAAAAAGGAAAAAAAAAAAATTCTCAATTAGAACCTTGCACCATATATTTGAATTCTTACAAAGTCTTTCCTTCAGAGTACACTTTTATAGGAACTTACTGATTTACAAAGTATTAATAGTTTAAGAGTTTCTTTTAGATTTTTTTCGTTATAACATAATCTAATCTCACTTGTGTAGTTGTCCTCTGTAACAAACAGAGAGTGTCAGTGGTACACCAACTTCTTAGGGGACTCTTTGTTTTTTAATTGAAGTATAAGTAACGTACAGTGTTGTATTAGTTTCTCGTGTACAATATAGTGATTCAGCAGCTCTATACAGTACTCAGTGCTCATCACGATAAATGTACTCTTAGTCTCCTTCACCTATTTTACCCATCCCTACACCCACCTTCCCTCTGACAGCCAGCAGTTTGTTCTCTGTATTTAACAGTCTGTTTTAGTCAGTTAAGCATCCGACTTCAGCTCAGGTCATGATCTCGCAGCTCGTGGGTTCGAGCCCTGCATCGGGCTCTGTGCTGACAGCTATCTCAGAGCCTGGAGCCTGTTTCAGATTCTGTATCTCCTTCTCTCTCTGAACCTCCCCTGCTCACGCTCTCTCTCTCTCTCTCTCAGAAATAAATAAAACATTTAAAAAAAAGAGTGTTTTATTTGTTTTTCTTGTTTTGTTTCTTAAATTCCACATATGAGTGAAATCAGGTGGTTATTTGTCATTCTCTGACTGACTTATTTCACTCAGCATTATACCGTCTAGATCCATCCATATTGTTACAAATGGCAAAATCTCAATCATTTTTATGGTTGAGTAGTATTCCATTGTATTCATACACCACATCTTCTTTTATCCATCTGTCTTATCAGTGGACATGTGAATTGCATCTATATCTTGGCTATTGTAAATAATGCTGCAATAAACATAGGGGTGCATGTGTCTTTTCGAATTAGTGTTTTCTTTGGTTTTCTTTGGGTAAATACCCAGCAGTAGAATTACTAGATCATATGATAGTTCTATTTTTAAGTTTTAGAGGAATCGCCATACTGTTTTCCACTGTGGCTGCACCAATTTGCATTCTCATTAACAGTGTGTGTGAGGGTTCTTTTTTTCCACATCCTTGCCAACACTCTTTTCTTACCTTTTGACTAGTCATTCTGACTGGTGTGTAAGGTCATTTATTTTTTTTAATTTTAATTTAATTTTTTTTTTTTTTAAGTAAACTCTACCCCAACATGGGACTCAAACTCACAACCCTGGGATTAAGAGTTGAATGCTCTGCTGACTCAACATCCAGACTACTCTTTCATTGTGGTTTTAATTTGCAGTTCCCTAGTGATGAGTGATGTTGAGCATCTTCAGATGTTGGCCATCTGTATGTTGGAAAGATGTCTGTTCAGGCCCTCTGCCCATTTGTTAATAGCAGCTTCTCAGGTGATTCTTTTTTTTTTTTTTTAATGAAATGGCATGGATGTGGGAAATTTTGAGGAAAAAAGATTCATGAAGTATGAGAATGGAAATAAACAATATTGTTGAATTATATTTAGGATGCAGTTTTAAAATATGTATTCATTACTAAGTAAGTAAACATTTAATTGCTACACAGTTAGTCAAGAAGCCATGACTATTTCCTGTCTTCTCTGCCTTTGCTTCTGTTATCCAAACACTCTTCCTCTATATTCCTCGCACCCTCCTTTAACACTTACTTGAAAGTCCCCATCTTCTTAGAGTTAGATAAATCTGGGTGGGATTCCTAGCTCTACTTTGTCATCATCTGCATGACTTAATTTCCTCTTCTGTAAAATGGGCCTAATAACATCTACTTCATAAGATTGTCATGGGAATGGAATATGATAATTCACTTAAAGAGGATAACATAGGGCCTAGAGGTTCCTAAGTATTCAGGAAATTAGGATTATTTTTCGCCATTTGCTGTTTTCTTCCTGACTGAGTGGATTTATTACAACTCTTTGTTTTCCTACAGTATGTTGAGGATATGTCTCTTGTAGCACTTACCACACGATGTAAATTTATTGATTTACACATCCAATTTTCTCATAAGTTTTTAAGTTTTTTAGAAGCAGAACATGTGTCATTCATCTTTATGACTTTCTGTCCACAGTGTTGGGTTTGTATTACATATTTGATATTTCTTGAGGAACTGGAGACAACTGGGAGCTTGCAATTTGGGAAAGATTTGGACTCCTTGATGAGTATTTCAGAAACAAACCAGATTCAAGTGGGTTGAGTAGTAAATGCAAGATTTTTTATAATTTTCATTGATTTCTTATATAGATCATCTATTTATAATCTAAAAGTAGTTGATAGGTACCAAAACGCTGGTCTTTGTTTTGTTTTTTTTAAAGTTTTTATTCATTTATTTTGAGAGGGAGAGAGAGAGCACGTGCATGTGCACGTGTGGGGAAAGGGCAGAGAGAGAGAGAATCCTAAGCAGAATCCTGTCAGCTCAGAGCTCGATGTGGGGCTCAAACCCATGAACCGTTGGATGCTTAACCTACTAAGCCACATAGGTGCCCCATGCTGAGTACCTTTTTGGCAACATACAGAAACCTGTCACAAGGGAACAGTGACCAGGACAGATTCAGTCCTATGTAGGAGCCCTCAGGCCAGCTAAGAATGAGCTGTGTTTTCTGCCAACCTTGGGAGCTCATGGAACTTTCCTAGTAAAAGAGGGCCTGGGTATTGGAGCTGTTTGCCTCATCCAAGTCCGTGCTCTGCATTGGCATGGACTAAGAAGTGCTTATATTTGCATAGCAGAACATTTTACTGTTTCTTAAAAAATGAGCCTTAATCTTGTAGATTACATACTTAATATGGATGGCAACAATAAAAAGAGACCGTATTTTCTTTGAGCAACAAGAAGGTGGATGTCACATAGATAATTTCATTAGAAGTGAATAAAACATGATTATTTCTTTTGTGGGGGAGGGCAGGCTGAGAGCTGCAGCTCTGCCTGAGGTCAGTGAGATGTTAGAAATTATAATGCACATTGTTAGAACTACTTAAACTGTATCATGTTCATCCTGAATCCTTTGAAAATTATTTTAAGTCTCAGTGGACTTTGGTTCATCCATATGTATTAACTGAATCCTTTAAGATATTTTCTTCTGAGAATGTTGGTACTTGCAGACTACTGCATTGTTTTTAAGGGTTTAAAATTGAATCCGCATTCATAGCCTGTACCATTATTTGGGTTGCTGCTATAGCATTTTAGCTTTCCTTGTAAAATAGTGTCTATATTTATATTATGTTTTATTGTTTGAAAATTGTTAGCAGCCATGTCAGACCTAATGTGCTTGCAGAATTCTTTTTCTTATGTGGTACTCAGCTAAGAGGCAGGCAGCATTGATGGTTTCATATTAATCCTGGACTGGTAGTTTTCTATAGCATAAAACTAAAACACACAAGCAAACAAAACATGAAAAAACTAAAGTCAGATTGGCAGCGTGCACTTTACCTTCTCTCATACCTTCTATCACTTTCTTCCTCCCTCATTTTCCCTTTCTTTCCAGTTGTGTTTTGCCATATTTTCTTTTGGAGCTAGCTGGGCACTTGTATGATTCTGCCCCCAAAGCTATACACACTCGAGTTAATTTGAGCACACAAAGAACCTGCAATTTAGTTCTTCTCTGCATGGAGTAGACCTATTATTTTCTATGACCTGTATGACCTGCTAACATAAATATTTAGCCTATACAAAAAAGAATGTGGCTTCTTTAAACCAGATCTCATTTCTTATGTGATTGAGTGTATTTATTGTTGAGGGTTAAGAATGGAGAGTTCAGAGAAAGAAGTTTTCTTTGTAGCACACTTTTCCCCTTTACAATTTTGGTCACCATAGGAATGACCTTGCTGGGGAAGGAAAAGTATTTTCCCTGTATCTCCAGGTATGTCTGGCATTTGCTAGCCTTCTCTCTGCATTACGGACCTACACCTCACCCTAAGTTTGTGGAAGGAGGAGGCAAGTTGCAGAAGAGCAAGGGGGGCATGTGGCTCTCCACTTTGGGACTTACCCTTTTCTGTTTGTTTGTTAGCACGAGTCTTATTTTCATTGCCTCATTCTCCTGTTTCCTACTCTATTGAACAGATGCTTAGAATTTGGTTGACCAAATTTGGATTTAGATGTTGTAGTTTCTGTGTTCAACTCTCTAGTAGCATCACTTCTGCCTTGTACTTGATTATGTTGTAGAATTGAGCTGTAGTAGTTTTCTGGTCTGTGCTGGGCATCGGGGATATAAAAAAATGAATGCCGTGTGGTCCTTTGCCTGAAAGGGCTTATAACCTAGTGTGGTGGAGGTGGGAAAACAGAGGAACAGGTAATTACAGAATAGGAGTATGTGGGTAGCTTGGTGTGTGAGCATTGAGCAGGGAGCAATGAATTCTACTTGTAGGAGCTGATAAAAGTATCTCTGAAGAAAATGACATTTAAATTGGTTCTTGACTGATGAGCAAGGCTGTGCCAGTTGGTTATCAAAAATTTTAAAGCAAGAAAAGCAGCGTGTGCTTTGTCATGAAAGAGCAGAAACAGGGTGGGAAGGTCCGTGTAGCCGGAGGACAGAGTTCACGTGGGGTGCGGTGCGAAATGAGGGTGGAGGATGGAGATGCCAGCAGCTCTCAGGCCACTGAAGTCCGTGCAGATGGGTTTTTACAGAAGCCACCTCTGGAGCATGGTAGGTGTTGGGCCAGAATGCAGAAGAGAGATGTAGCAGAGAGACTGGCTGGGGGGCTGTTGTAACTGAATTGACCAGAGGCAACGAAAGTTTTCGACCACATTGGTGACCTTGAGTCTCTTAATCATCTTGCTTTTCTTGGGTTCCTTTTAACTTAAAAAAAGTTCAATCTAATTTGTTTTGTATGCCCCTTGGTCTTTGAAAGTTGGTTTCATGTTATGAGGTGCCAGACATGACATCAAGTCTCAGCACAGTGTGTAATGGTTGCCCTTAGGTTTTCTGTGCGGCCCTCCCCTTCCGCCAGAGCTCCATTCTAGTGCTTGAATGCTCTGACATCCCTCTTACAGCTGCACCACACACGCTACCTCTTAACTGCCAGCTTATACGTTGCTGAAGGTAGTATTTGCATCTGTCGTCTTCACTACAGTATGCCTAGCACCTAGCATGTGCCTGACAGATAGTAGATGCTTAATAAATATTTACAAGGAGGATGAAGGATGAATTTGGAGTAGCTGGAGGTCAGGCACATTGCCTGATGATCATTGCTGATGATCAGTAAGAGTGCACATTAAAATAACAGCCACAGTTAAATCATGTACAGTAACACTATCATCTTTAGTCCAAGTGCGTGTGTAACAAGATAGGGGTTCGTGAATCTGGACAAGCTCACTGAGGGGGTGTGGCACACAGAATGTCAGGCGTGGCCCACCTGTTGTTTGGACCTGTATTTACTCAAAGCAGTTGGCAATTAACAGCAGTTTATTGCAGTGGACCTGGTGGTTCGGGGTTCTTGGACAGGTACCTCTAGCCACTGTTCCACTTGAAGCTGAGGAAAAGAGCAATAACAATTTAAATAGAAAGTTTCTTTGCACAGAAATGTGCCCCTGTAGACTTAACACCGTTTCTACAGTGATGCACCTACAACGTTTCCTAATTCTTACATATGCTTGGGTTTAGTCCCTGGAAACACTTCAATGGAGCTTCCTGGTTCCCAAGCAGTGGTTTGCAGTCTTTTCAAGGAAGAGGACTCCTTCTAAACAGCACCTTTTGTACCTTCGGTAATCATGTCCCAAAAAAATACTCATAATATTCAGTAATGCTTCCCTTTCGCCTCCCCAGTTTTTTTTTTATTATGAAAAATTTTAAATACAAAAAGGTGAAAAAAATAGTATGGTAGTTGCTTCTATAGCACCACCTGAAAGCAATAGTCATGAACATTTTCTGTATCTGGTCTATCTCTTTATCTACATTTTATTTGGTGAACAGTTTGAAAGTGAGTAACAGACTTTAATAGTTCAGCTTGCATTCCCTGCAAATAAAAATGTGTACCTACATAACCACAATACTTTCCCACACCCAAGAAAACGACCAATAATTCCCTAAAATCATGTTAATAACCTAACTTATTCACATACTCTCTAATTATTTCCAAATGTCTTTTGTTGCTTCTCTCCCTTCCCCTTCAAACACAGGATTTAGTCAAGGGTTCCCTGTGGGATTTGGTTTTGTTTCTTTAATAGGGAACAGTCCCCTCCCTTCTCTCCTTTTCCTCTATGACACTGACCTTGAGGAGATCAGGCTGGTTGGCTGATTGTCTTATACTCTAGATTTATCTGATTCTGTCTGCTCGGCTGCTTCTTTTGGAAGGAACGATTGAGGAAGGAAGCTATTCTTTATGCAAGAATGCCATTTAATAAAAGAATGATAGAAGTAGAAAATCAGCGTTCTGCCACCTGTTAGGAAATCATCATTTAAGACAAAGGTGCTAAAATTGTTAGGGGAATGGAACATTGCTACAATGCCAACGTATTACCCAATAGAATGCTTGCCAATTGCACTGGTGAAAACATACCTTGACAATGGACAGGTCTCAGGTCCAGGGATCATTGGTTAAACTTAGCATCGCTCCCAGTTAGTGAGTTAATGTAACATCATGTGCCTCTGATGTGCCGTGGGGAGAAGGCAACGGCGTCATCTGTGAAGGATTCTTCCCCTACGTGCTTGATGCAATATAGTCAAGTGTTTAGACCTAACTTTTAATTTATAGGAAATAGAGGATAGAGAAACACGTTAAATGACACCATGAGGAGACAGTCAGACCAATCCAGTATTGCTTTTAAATGAATTTGCATTTTATGAATCACCCTCACATTTACCTTCCCCCGAGAATCAGTAAGTAGGGCGTGTACACCTCACTCGGTGGGCAGACAGAGCTTTTCCACGTGTCACGGACCCCTTGCAGTAACTGCTGCTCTTGGGGAATCATATGACACTCTAGACTATAGTTTCTTTGACAAGGTCACATTGCAGCTTGCACAGCTTCTTAATAAATATAGGAATTTGGCTCACAGATGTGTCAGTCTACCACCTTTTAGAAACACTGAATTCACTTAGTTGAAGTGTAAGGATGAAGGATGGAAAATTGATCGTGCCCCAGATATTTAACATACAGGAGTTTATGTGTTTTGCAGTAGAGTATTTGGAAAGGACTGGAAAATCAGCACTGTTTGATTTGGTGCCAGCTTATGATTAATTTATTTTCCGATTTTGCTGTTACTGAAACTGGTTTTCCAGAAATATTCTGAGATTCAGTTGTTTCATCAAGGCAGTGTATTTTTTGAGTGGTCATTGTTTCAACTCTAATTTATTATTGATCTTTCAGGCCCACAGCAGCAGAACTTTTAAAATGCAAATTCTTCCAGAAAGCCAAGGTAACATGCTTAAAATAACCCCATGTAAATCTGCTATTTTGAAATCACTGTGAACTTCTGTGTACGCTATTTGGTGTTAAACTGTTGGGAATATTTCTTTTGCAGAACAGAGAGTACCTGATTGAGAAGCTGCTTACAAGAACACCAGACATAGCCCAAAGAGCCAAAAAGGTAAGCGGCCCTAGCCTTTGTGACCCAGCAGGGGGCTCCTCCCTACCCGGGGATATGAAGCCCACAGACAAATAGGAACAACATTGCCACATACTCAGGATGTGTTATTTAGAGGCTCTCTGATTAGCGATTCCTCAGATAGCTGCACTTTGCCTTTTGGGTATCTCCGGCTTGTCCTGAATATGTTTGTGGAAACCATGTGAAACTTGAATGATTTCATTTTTCCATTTTCAGCTTTGCTTAAAGAAGGTCGGAGGGGAGGGGATTGTGAGGAGGCATGGAGAGGTGAAAGATCCTTGAATATCTTTCCTTTGGATTTTATAGAAGTGCAGGCAAGTCATTTTGAAGCAGTTTGAAATGATAAAAAGAAACACCAGAATCTATCTTCAGTGCTTATCTTACTTTTAATCCAATTTTATTTACAAATTTAACAATTATCTTGAGTGTCTGTGGGATATTGGTTCTTTCCTCATCAAAGACCCTGGCCCCTCTTGTAATTTATCTGATGGTAACTAAATCATGTTAATGATTACCTGAAAAACTTTCCATTCTTGGCTTTAGATTTTTTTTTTAATGGTGTGTATGTGTGAGTGTATTTATTTACATATTTATCCAGAATTTTATTTCTTTGTAATTACTGATTTCCTTATGATATGAAATTTAACTTCTGGTTTGGTTTAATTTGGTTTCAAAATTATATTAGATTTTATAATTTAAAGTCTTTATGTAATCAGAGATTTAGAAAGGAAGGTTCCTCCCCCCTTCCTTTATGGTTAATAGTTATAGGGGAAGCCGATATGAATCTGCATTGTATGCTCTGAAATAAAACCAGCAGACAAGTATGCATTCGAGATTGCATCTCATCATGCCTAGGTGAAGTAACTCTGAATGTTACATTCCAGACGTTGCCTTTTCTAAAGCATTCTGTATGCAGTGCATTTAGCAGATGCCTTCAAATTATTTGAAACAGATTTAAAAGTAGATTTTAAGAAATGACCGACTATGAGGAAAAAAAAAAAAAGGAGTGTGGGTGCCTGGGTACTCGGTTGATTGAGTGCCAAATCAAGATTTGGCTCAGGTCATGATCTCAGGGTCGTGGGCTCAAGCCCCCTGTCTTGATCAAGGATCTAGGATTCTCTCTCTCTCTCTCTCTCTCTCTCCCTCCCTCCCTCTCCCCCTCCCCCTCTCCCTTTCTCCTTCCTCCCCTTTCTCTCCCTCCCTCCCCCACCCCCCTCCTCTGCTCACAGGCTGGTGTGCGTGCACACACTCTCTCTCTCAAATAAAATGAATTTTAAAAAAAGAAAAAAGAAACAGCCCACTCTGTATAGGTATGCTAGTGCCTCTGGGGGCCAGCAGAATTCTCCCTGGGATGTGGGATCGTAGCATGGGGCTTAAAAAAAATTTTTTTTAAGTTTACTTATTCATTTTGAGAGCGAGAGAAGGCACATGCATGTGTACACACATCAGCAGGTGTGGAGCAGAGAGAGAGAGAGAGAGAGAGAACCTCAAGCTGGCCCTGCACTGTCTCTGCAGAGCCCAGTGCGGGGCTTGAACCCATGAACTGTGAGATGAAGAGTTGCTCGCTTAACTGACTGAGCCACGTAGACAGTCCCAGCATGAGGCTTTTGATCAGGCATCTAAAGTGTTGGTCAGAGTTGAAAAATACTGTTAGGGAACCATTGGCTCGTTCGGTTAGAATGGCCCTCAGAGAACATTTCTGTTGGTCTCTGCCTGTTTCACTAGTTTCTTCTGGTCTCATCTAGTAGCCGTTCCCCCAGACGGGGTTTGCCTGGTGTATTTTCTCTCCAGACCTTGTTTTAGCACACACCCCCAGGTCCTGTCTCGTGGCCCCCTGGCCTCTCAGGTGCAGGCTTTCCAAGTGGTTTCCCTCCGCTCCCAAACCTTATCTTCCTGTGTTCTGTGTTTCTGTCCGAGTCCCCCAACCTCAGGACACTGGGATTATTTTTGTGTTTGAGACCTCCCTTCCCTGTCCTGCCTACCCTTTCCCTCCCTGAGTCCTCTGTCATAGTGCATGGAACGTTTCCCTCCTGGTTTCCACTGGGTTCCCCTCTTCTCTTCTTCCTTTGTATTCCTTCTTAGACACTACCACTGGAGTAATTTTCTGATCATGTCACTAATTGCTTAAAAGTGGTTCCCCAAGTTAAACAAACCCCAAGAGCACATAAATGAAAAGTAAATTTCCTATGAAATAAAGACCAACCTCCCTAGCCTTGAATTCACGGCACCCTTTGAACATTGAGCCTCATATTCTAAACTCCAACTCAAGTCAACCACCTGTAGTTCTCACTCCGTCTGCTTTCCTCACTAACCTACACTTAACCTTTGAGAGTCTGTCATTTTGAGAAAGTGAAGAGGCTCTCCAGGCTCTGGCTTTATTTTCTTTCTTTTAAAAAATATTTAAATTATTTATTACGTATTAGTGTGCTGTGCATCCCAGACCCCATTTCGTATGCATCATAAATAACAGGCACCTGGAGTTCAGGGACATGGGATGTTTCAAGCGTGTCTTCTGCCATTTCCTTGCCTCTGCATTTCAGATCCTAAACTCTTCAAATGGAAAGTGGCCGCACATCTCAGGGTCACCAAGAAGGGTAAAGGGAGGACATCTTAGTTCTTTAAGCATCACATAGAAATGAGAGTGGCCCATAGTAATGTTATTCTTGGTCTGTAGCTTCATTAAGTCTGCTGTTTTTCTGTTATAATTCTCATTTTAAAGTTTATCCATTTTGAGAGAGAAGCAGAGAGACAGAGAGAGAGGACTCCCATGCACACATGCAAGCAGGGGAGGGGCAGAGAGAGGGAGAGGATCCTAAGCTGACTCCAAGCTGTCAGTGCAGAACCTGATGTGGGGCTTCATCTCATGAACTGTGAGATCATGACCTGAGCTGAAATCAGGAGTTGGTCGCTTAACCAACTGAACCACCCAAGCACCCTTGTAAGTCTCATTTTAAACTGCACTTTGGTCATTAGTGACACTCCCCTCCTTGCCCATAGGCTCTATGGCAGGGATGCTGACCAGAACATCGATCACAGTGCATATCTTGTTCATATCAAGTGCCTACAAATGCTTGCTAACGCAGTGAACGCATATGCTTGAGTGTACCAAGGAAAGGCCGTTTGAAGGTGTTTTTTTACTCACCCAAAATGCTTGACATACACTTGTTCCTAGGATTCCTGTTAGTAGCAGACAAACCTCCCTCTTTCCTTGGTGTGTGTGATGTTGGTAAGCAACCATGCTGTTCCTTATTTGAAACTTCTCCTGCAGACTTGGCCACGTGGAAGTAAATATTATTTTAATCACCATGAGCATTGAAAACCTTTGTTGTAGGATATCTTTACTTGTCTTAGGTTCTTACAATGTTTAAGTAAATTCAGTGTAAAAGATGGTACGAGAGTTTTTAGTGTTGTGTCATCCATTTTTGGACTTCCCTTTATTGACATTCACTCAGCTGCTTACTTTTCTGGTTGATCATGCTCTAATTTCCTTGTGTAGATTTGTTCCTCAGAGGCTACTTGTTGCTCTTGGTCCTCTGATTTTTGTCTCCTCGATTTGTTGTTTGAAAAACAGGAACAGACATAGGCCACCTGCGTGGCTCAGTTGGTTGAGCGTCCAACTTTGGCTCAGGTCATGTGGGTTTGAGCCCCGTATCAGGCTTTGTGCTGACAGCTCAGAGCCTGGAGCCTGCTTCAGATTCTGTGTCTCCCTCTCTCTCTGCCCCACCACTTGTACTCTGTCTCTCAAAAATAAATAAACATTAAAAATATTTAAAAAAATGGAAGCAGACAATCCATTGATATGCCAATGTTTACATGACAACTGGGCATGACCAAGCTCTGGGCATTGGGCAACCTGTGTTGATTTGAAATTTGTTATCATAAGTGACAGTTTCTGCTTTTCTTCCTCATCAGAGATATTTTTCAATATGTGTGTGTTTTTTTTTTTTAACATGAGTAGTTCTCATATTTGAAAGAGAGAAGGGCCAGTTGTAGCTGTTCTCAGGGAGCCCACCAATGCTGTCCTTTGGGACTAGAGAGGTAGTTTGGCCAGAATGTGAAGCATTGGTTGGGGGCCATGTAATTTCATGTGGGTAGATGATCTTGTCTTCATCCTGAGTTATTCCTCTAAATCAGAAAAAAAATACAGATCAGCACAGCTTTCCTGGTAATTTAGTGAGTGTGTGTGTGGTCATTGCAGACATTAGGGGTATTTGTTTTCCTCCTAGAGGCAGAGTATTTGGCCTATTTGGGAGTCCTTTCACTGACAGACGGTATTGCTTAGGGATCATCTTGATTTTTGCCCTAATTTTTCTGTCTGTGAAAGGGAAATTCTGTCTGACCTCAGGCATGTGGTGAAGGGTAATGAGAGATTTGGAAATCCTGGACTACAAGATATTCTGTGAATTCTAAGTGAGAATGTGCTAATAATGACTCATGGGAACAAGGTTAATTACACCTATAATTTCTTTTCAACTTTTCACTTATCCTAGTGCATGGGAAGAGAAGGCCTCATAGCCATTACTCCTTCTCATGTGACTTTTTAGGGGCTTGTTTCCAGCCGTCTTCAGGGGTTTGAATGCTTGAACGTGAGATGTTCCACTGTGTATCCTAGTGGATTTCCTGGGTGGGGAAGAGTGTACACATCATTCTGTCAGAAATGAATGCTGCTGCCTAGGGTGGTGTGCATTTTCTGTAGGACCATCTATGTGTCACTTGGCCTCTATCTCTGCTTTATGTTAGTGATATGAACATTGAATCACCATTTACTTTCCTATTCATACTCCTTCTGTAGCTAAAACTCCTTGATGGCAGGAGAGAGGTAAAAAGTTAGTAGCTCTACAGATACCTAAATGCCAAGTGCTTAACCAAAAAGCGTATTGTCCTGAGAAGTGCAATGCACTGTTCTTTCTGTGGTGGTTGCTGTGTTTTCATGGGAAGAGGAATCACTGGAGGATTTTTATTTGGATTTTCTCAGTTTTGAAATTGAGAAGTTATAAATGATTAGTCACTGTCAGAAGGAAAGAGATGTATCACTGCTGCATTTGGATGGAACTATTGTGGATTGGAAAGTAGGGTGATATTTGAGGGTCCCAGAACTTATTGTATCAGGCTGTAAAATTGGCTTCATATTAAGGACCCAGGGAGTTAGCTTCATTTGATCCTCCTATGTGCTTGGAAGTAATGGGTAGGAATTGTTACAGTTTATACTTATTTAATACTCAGTGTGTGTTCATGATGTGTCTTTCCTGTTTTTACGTTTTATTTTGAAATAACTCTGGGCTTACAAAAATTTATAAAAATAGTACAAAAAATTTATGAATGTATTTCCTCTCTCTCTTTTGAAACATTTCAAAGTTATAGACATCATGCTTTTTATCTTTAAATATGCTTCAGTGAACTTTCCCTAAAAACAAGGGCATTCTCTCACAGAACAGTGTAATTATCAAAATCAGGAAGTTAATGTTGACACAATACTATTCTTTAACATTCAGATCTTATACAGATTTTGCCAGTTTTGTCACTGATCATGTATCTGGCCCAGGTCCAATCCAGAATCACTTAGCTGTTGTCTACCTTTCTCTCCTTCAACCTAGAATGCCTTTTCTTTCCTTTTACAGACAGTCACACTTTTGAAGAATACAGGCCATTTATTTCATAGGATGGCACTCCTTTTGGGGTTTTCTGCTGTTTCTTTGTGATTAGATTCAGTTTATGCTTTTTGTTCACAGGAATACCTCCGAGCGATGCTGTGTTCTTCTCAGCGTTGCATGTTGAGAGTCACGTGGTACGGATTTATTCCTTTACTGGTGATATTAACTCAGGTCACATGCTTAAGGTGGCGCCCACCAGCTTCTTCACTGTAATAAACACAATTACTTCTTAATAGGAGGAATTCATTAATATTACATTCTTTCATTATATATATTAAACATTAAAAGGTAAAGTGAATGTACTTACTGTACAGGGTCCTTAGTCGTTTTTCAAGGGAACATTTATGCTTTATGTCACTGTGGTTGTACATTCATAGGATATTAATGGTAGGAATCCCCTATGATTTCTACGCAATCTTTTGGACAAGGAACACTTGGCTACAGTGTGGTGTTTTGATTTAGCTGGGAAGTAGCAATGGTGTCTGGTGTGGAAGCGCAGTAGCTGGATCTGTGTCCTTCACTGGGTGAGCTGGCTAATCTCTCTGAGCCCAGTCTGTCACAGGGAGCCAAGGACACTTCCTGTGTGTGGCCGTGACGAGAGACGATCTGTGCAGGATGTCCAGCACTGTGCTTGACACGTTGTGAGTGCTCAGTCCAGCACAGGCTGCCGTGGCTATCGTACAAATAAGGGAATGAGTATTGTGGCTACAGAGGTGGAAAGTTTAGAAGCACACATTGAAATAGGGAGCGAGGGGAGTCCTGGTAGTGGGGCAGGTGAAGTGGGTGATGAAGGTTGTTTCTCTTTTGCTGTTGCTTCGGATAGGATGGAGAAGAAGCCCATGGAGATGTACAGAAAGGAGGACAAGCACCATTATTTCATTATTTCATTTCTGTTGCCTATTTACACCATCTTGTTTTCCTTTCTGCCCCATCAAGGTGCAGAATTTACTGCAGCCAGTCCTCTCTGCTATGAGAAAGAAGTACAGTGTGTGTGTGTGTGTGTGTGTGTGTGTGTGTGTGTGTGTAGACCAAAGAATATTAAGAATCAAATACACACAGCTAATACTCATTTACAGCTTTTAGATCACTTCCGCATATGCTTCCTTATTTATTCTAAACAACTGTGCTTGAAGACAGATTGGGTAGCCATTACCATTATTACACTTTGCAGATGCAACTGTGAGAGGCTAACTGACTTGTCTGAAGTCACATGGCTAATTAGAGGCAGTTCTTATTTCTGGTTCTGTGCTCTTTCCACCAACTCAGACCTCAGGAGGAAGAAGAGAAGCCAGAGAGTGGGAAGGAAATCTAGATGGAGAGGGTAGACAGTGTGAAATGGTCTAAGTAGGAAAAGGGGAGGTACTTTTGTCATTATCACCAGCAGATGGTCTTCCATGTAACACACGCCATTCCTGGGCACCAGGAGATGCTGTAAACATGATTGTAGGAGCTGGAAGTTTGCCAGGGTTTCAGCAGATGTGGGGGGAGTAAGGTGATAAACAGGCTTTGGAGATTCTGAAGGGAAGAGGGTTGGCTACTGGGAGTTTGATAGCATCAGCGGTTGTCAAAACCTACCAGAAGCTCAGCTTCTCCTTCATGAAATGGAGAAAGTAATGATACCTACCTGCGTTTTTCAGGTAAGGCATAGGAAGTGTGTGACACAGTGGTTGGCTGGCACAAAATAACCAATGGCACTGGTTATTATCATAATCATAGTGAATTTTATTATTATAATCACATATATTGCTTTATTATTATAGTTTTATTGTTAAAATGTCATTATTGTTTTTGTAACATTTTTCATTGCCGTACCACAGGTACCACTGCTGCTGTTCCCATTCCTGTGGCTGTTGTAATGGCTGCCGCCATTACATGCTACCAGTAATGGGCACTGAGGTGCAAGTGGATAAAGGACACAGTGCAGGCAGTGAAGCTCACCATTCAGTGGGGAGCACAGTGCAGGCAGCACAAGGTGTACTCAGAGTAGCAGAGATAGATGCCTTAGGATGTGGGTGCAGAATATGCACTGCCAGAGCGAGAAAGGTTGTGGAGATGGCAGCTGTGGGAATATGGGGAGACAAGAGCGAGCAACTCCTGTGTATTGTGCTCCTTCATGCACCAAGTGAGGCATTTGGCTTACATTTATGTCAGTCGCTGCAGCCTTATCCTAACCAGTGAAATCTTGAGTGACAGGATGATAGTTTATTAAGACTGGGTTAAAAAGGAAAAAATAGTATACATATTTTGAAGTACGTACGAGTGGAAAAGAGCATAAATAAATATCATCTGGTGTGTGATTCTTTAGTGGGCAGAACTGAAAATTGAGACTCAGGTTGGGCCTTGACCGAGTTGTCGTATAGTGGCAGTCCAAAGCCAGCTAGCCTCCCAGTTTGCTCTTTAGAAGAGTCTAAATGACTCTTAGTCATATAAAGAGGGAAAACGACTCTGGATTTCTGAAAAATTGCTTTTTTAAATTCCTTATAATATTATAACTAATTTATAATATATTGAAGATTATAGATTATCAAGAAACCAGAGGTGTACTGTAATTTTGTTCCAAGTCTGTCCAGTAGAGGGCAGTAAAGAGCTTTAGTTCTGTGTGGCTGTTCCAGGCAAACTGAGCAAAAGTTTTTGGCTTTGTTCAAGGTCTCAGACTTGGAGAACAAGAATCAAAGTATGTTAGGTACCTACTGAGCAATGAGTTCCAGGCACCTTAGTCAGTCTGTGTGTGTTTTGTTCTTTTGTTTTGTTTTGTTTTTACTGGACAGAGTTGAAGGGTGAAGATTTAAGTACTTCTTATTACTATTTTCATTTAAAATTTCATTTCTATTAACAGGTCAAAGTAATCTAACATTTGTATTTTAAATAATTCATGTCAAAACCAAAAATCTCAATTTTGACAACAGGATTAAGATCTTCCTATATTTTACAGTTTAAATTAATATAGTTCTGGGTGGTTGCAGGCTTTTTAGTTCCTGCAGTTCTCCTTAAAGCAGGAGAACTTTAATTTTTTTTTAATGTTTTTTATTTATTTCTGAGAGAGAGAGACAGTGTGAGCAGGGGAGGGTCAGAGAGATAGGGAGATACAGAATCTGAAACAGGCTCCAAGCTCGGAGCTAGATGTCAGCACAGAGCCCAATGTGGAGCTCGAAGCCACGAACCATGAGATCCCATGAGATCGTGACCTGAGCTGAAGTTGGACGCTCAACCGACTGAGCCACCCAGGCACCCCTATTTTTACATTTTAAATGCATTTTAGTCAATTCAGAATGTAGAGTTCATTTGCTCAGAAAAGTGCTTTTGGTCACTAGGGGGTGCTATCAGAACAGTTCTAAATTTTAGGAACCCGTCTGTAGTCAGGAATTGCTCACTAGTCTATAGAAAGGCTTGCAGTTATAGATTTCTTCCTTTGGCAGCAAGCCTGTAAGGAGCTTGAGTTGTGTTTGTGCTGGGGGTGAATTAGGCAGAGGTGACGGTAGACGAAAGAACGAAGGGAAAAAAACATCATAATTTACTCTCATTTCAGTTGACAAATTGAATTAAAATCTGTATGTATTTTGGGCAAGTGGCCTCTTCCTGGTGACATTGAAAAGATCCATGGAGTAAACTGTGGTTTGCCAATCACGGCAGCCCCATTTACGGGGAACGTCTGTATTTTGAGATTGAGGTATCTTTTCAAGACACCGTTTGCTTAAGAGAATTTTTAAAACTTGTCACAGATCTTGGAGACCCAATTTTGGAAATTTAAAAATAATGGCATACATTCTGAGAGTATTGTGAAAGATACTGTTTGTACAGCTTTAGTGTGTAGGGAATGAATTGTTTCCTTTTGCTGGAAATGAATAGATAGCATCAGTGGCCTTATTTCCCATCCAGTTAGATTTTTGAGATCTGCATGTTCAGATACATTTTGTGCTTCATTTTACCTTTGGGAAATTTGCTAACTTTTTCCAAAGCTTGAGTACATCAGGTAGCTTTGAAACTTAATTGGCATACATGGGCTGAGCGAAGTCCCTGACTGGCCTCTCATGTAGGGCTCGCTGAACATCACTGATAATGTTCGAGGTACTGACTCTCATTAAGGCAGTTTGCCTTTTATTCACCTTTACAGCTCCTTCTAATACTGGCATACCATTTCTTTTTAAAAGTAGATGAACCATGAAGAATGGAAAGGAATTTGGAATCTGGCTCTAGTGGCAGCAACACTAGTATAAAAAGTTAGCGGATGCTTTTTTGATCTTGTCAAAACTCTAAGGTGATTGTACCTTCTTTCTGGTTTCAAACCCTTCAATGGCTTCTTGTCAGTTACAGGGTCATTTCCAAGTTTCTGCCACTGATGGGATGAGGTCTGCTCCCTTGTGAGACGAGCACCACCCAGGGCTCCCCGTGTTTGGGCAGCGCTCCAGCCTTTCCTTCGGCCACTCATCACCTCACCCTCGATGCACCCTTACAGAATTACCGCTTCAGCTTTTCTACCGTGCACTTCTGAAGTCCCACATGTGCCTTCTGTGGAAGTACATGTGCTGGTCCCTCTGAAAGAGGCTTCTCCCGGAATTTGTATCTTTCCGAGTCTAGCACCTGTTGTTGAAGCTTCCTCATCCCATCCCCCTTGCATCCAGATGGTTCATCAATCTTTTCATCTGTGCCGCTTCTGTGCCCAGGGCATCGTCCCCTGGTTCCCCTTACCGCCGTTTGCAGTGGCTTTCCTCACACATCTGTCTTCTGCACCAGACTGAGCTCGCTGGGGTACAGGAATAGTGTCATGTTGTTCCTGTGTCCCCAGTACCAGGACAGTAGCTCAGTCCATCTGGAGCTGGAGCTCAGGAAGCGAGATTACAGTCACAATGATGGCTTTTAAGGGAGTTGATGTGAGAGCATGAGGGGGAGGCAAAGTTAATCTTATAGTTTTAAAGGAGATGAGTTAAGAAGTTTTTCAGTTGGTTCTGTCTTCTTGTATTTTAGGATCAGGACTCCGAGATTATCTGCTTTTAGCATAACATCCTTTGTCATCTCCCACTTGCTGACACTCTTGGATGAACCAGTTAGCTTGACTCACCTTTGCCACCTTATCATGAAGTGAAGTGGTTAGATTTTATTATCTAACACTTAAGCACTATCCGCTTTGGGTTATTTGCCAGCAGAGGTTTAGTCCCTAGCCCTCCACAAGTTCTGTGTTGTCATTTTCTTTTCCCGGCCAGGGGTGTACATTAGTTTTCCCATCTTTGGAAGCCACATCTAATTAGGAAGATATTTTGAAACGAGACCTAAATTAGTTTTCAGTACTCTCTACTTTTGGATTGCCTTTTACGTATCCCTGCATTTAAGGGAAACAATTTGAACTTAACTCTTTAGATCGTGATTCTGTAAATCTTTAAAGTGAATGTGACATTTTGGTGATGGGGAGGTGATAGAGATAGAAAGTAGTGGAATTTGTGTGCATATTGGGAAAGGAAGGCATTTTGTCCTCCTTCCTCCCTACCCTGTCACACCGGTCATTCAGGAAGTGTGGTGAGGCCAGCAGAGGGCAGAGTACACATGCTTTAAAAATCCAGTGTTCTGGTGATGGGGTCTGTGCTTGTTTTATGTGAGTCAAATTTGATTGATATGGTAAAGATGCACTGTTTTATTGTGTTTCTTAAATTTTATTTATTTTATTTTTTAATTTTAATTGTTTAATGTTTGTTTATTTTTGAGAGAGAGAGAGAGAGCGAGTGAGCGAGCAGGGGAGAAGCAAAGAGAGAGGGAGACACAGGATCTGAAACAAGCCCCAGGCTCTGAGCTGTCAGCACAGAGCCCGACACAGGACTCAAACCCACGAACCAAGAGATCATGACATGAGCTGAAGTTGGATGCTTAACAGACTGAGCCACCCAGGCACCCTGTGTGTGTGTGTGTGTGTGTGTGTGTGTGTGTGTGTGTGTGTGTGTTTTAAAGGCCAGAATATATGTATTTGGTAATTTCTTTTTACTTTGAAATTAAGTAGTTTTAAAACATTAAAATTCAAGAGCTCAGTTAAAGTTGTACTTTGATATAGGATTTTCTAGGCTCCCCATTAAATTACTTCTCACAAATTCAGATACTCATTTAGAAGAGCATATAATAATTTATAATTGTTTTTTCACATACAGAAAGGAAATGAGCTAAGCAATTCAATTCAAGTAGCAGCCTTTAATCCAAATTTAAAAGGCCATTTGCAATTGTTTTGGCCGTGTTGCAACCACTTTGTTAGCTGATGCAATTCTGTTGGGGAGGACCCGGGAAGGCCCTGTGTAATCCAGGCTGGGAGGGCTCCCTCAGTGGATAAGGACAAAGTACTGAGAGGTGGGCTTTCTCTGTGACTTTGTGGAAAGTGGTAGGAAGCAGGAAGAGGGAAGTGAGAAACCAAGCCTAGAGAGAGGTGGAAAAGGCCCCAAAAGAGTAGCTCTTGGTCAGGAAGATGGGATGCACAAAAGTCTGTGCTAGAAAGTGAGTCTGAGCTTGGGCGCTGCAGCCAGACCCCAGCCAGACCCTGGCTTTGCCACTGGCTTACGGAGTAAGCTGGGGCATCAGCTGACCGCCCCCACCCCTCCTGGCCTCATTTGTGAAATGTAGATGGTCCACTGGCTTCTCAGTGATCCTCTAAAGTGAAAAGTGAATCATGAATCGGGCCTCCAGTGCTTGCCCTGGTCTAGTCCTTTATCCTTAAGTCTTCTCTCGATACTCTCCACCCCCCCTCCTCCATTCTCCATGTGCCCAGGGTTCTTGCACGGGTTGATTTCCCCTCTGCATAGAAGTATCAGCCCCTCCATCCTCAGCGGACCTCACTTTCAGGTCAAAGAGGGCTTTAGAATCGGAACCATGCTGTTGTCACTGCTCTGTGATCCCCCTGCATTTTCATGTCCACCTGTGGACATATTTTTGTGTCAAGAAACAGAAATTTACTAAGATAGGTTTAATAGTTGTATAATGTTCTACTAGAAGAGTGACTGTAATCAGTTCTTCCTTGATGGACATTTAGATTGTTACCAATTTTTTTTTTTTTTTTTTTTTTTTTTTTTTTTTTTTTNTTTTTTTTTTTTTTTTTTTTTTTTTTTTTTTTTACTGTTAACCATACTGAGATGAACATCACTGTGCCTGCACTGTTGCATCCAATGTTACTTATTTTGTTAGGATATGTTCCTGGGAATAGGATTGCTTGG